CCGAGTCTCCTTTTCCTTTGTTTTTCTCTTTTTCTGCCTCATTTAAGAACTCTAACCCATGGGAAAAGGTCGAAACATTGTCTTCGTTTTCGGACGAGTAGGCCGAGTTTCTGTTTGTATCCATTATTGTCGCAAAATATATTATTTTTCCCCGCGCTAACAATGGCCGCTTGCGCGAAAAAAAAAATTCTGGCGAAGTCGGATTTGCTGACGCTATCAGTGTGCACTATCGGGATTTTGAGCACGCTTACGTAAAATGAATTTGATTGCGCGACTCTGCTAGCTATGTTCTAATTTTGATTGTTGTAAACAACTGTAATTTATATTTGTATGTCTGTGTGTAAGTGGCAAATGAGTAAAATACAACCTTATTCTGATGCCAAGTGCACGTACGCCTGTGTGACTCAGCAGCTGAGGAGTAATCTCCCAGTTTGAGTTGGGTAACACCCAGCTAACGGTATCTGTCGGTGGTCTCTGCAAGTTCCTCCCCAAATAACTTTATTCTGATGCCAAGTGCACACTTGAGTGACTCAAAAGCTTAGGAGATATCTCCTGATGTACCATGTGTAGCCCCCAACTGATCGTAGCTGTTAGCGGTCTCTACATGTTCCTCCCCAACTAAACTCATTCTGATGCCAAGTGCACGCTTGTGTGACTCGGCAGCTGAGGATAGATAGATCGATAGATAGATAGATAGATAGATAGATAGATAGATAGATAGTTAATTTATCCAAATAACGCCGAGGAGCATGTAGCATACTCTTTTACAACGCACACGCGGATTTACAAAATACTGAAAATAATGAAGATTGCATAAGTATAAAAGACTATGAATAATCATGTACAGGGCACGCTAACAAATTCTTATCATGGTGCTTAGCAATAAACAAATGGCACAAGGTTTAATTTGTTTACTATACTCCTAAGAGTATTCTTATTACCAGTAATTTTAAGCATTCCCTGGTAAAATATTCCAAAGGTGGCTGGCTATGGATGCAAAGGAAAAGTGACGATCTCTGTAAGAGCGATCCGGGTCATTTCGCATCAGAACAAAGTTTTCCCTCAAACCTTACTATGGTGGCCCACAACTGTCACGGCAAAACAAAAAGTCACGGCACTACAAACTTTCCTCACAGCAAAACAAAATTAACTCACGGCAAAACACCACTAATCCACGGCAAAACAAAATTAATTCACGGCAAAATAAAATTAACTCACGGCAGGACAAAATTAACTCACGGCAAAACAAAATTAACTCACGGCAAAACAAAATTAACCCACGGCAAAACAAAATTAACTCACTGCAAAACAAAATTTACTTACGGCAAAACAAAGAAAACGACTTGGTCAACGGTTGTTATTTGCATCTCAAATGGTACGTCGTGTAACAGTACCACCATCTAAACAATCGGTCTCAATTTGTCAAGATTGGCAATACTAAATCCAACTGTGAAACTATTACTTGTGGAATACCACAAGGATCAACCTTGGGTCCACTATCATTCCTGTTATATATTAATGACTTGCCTAACTGCTCTTATAAGTAATATCTGTAATTCTGGTTGGCTGCAGAATTTGGGTTTGAAAATAAAATGTACCCAGAGTGCTGAGGAAACTATCTGCCTGTATCAGGATGTAATTCAAACTTGAGGAGATCTAAGTTAAAGTCTCCCAAAAGAACACAATATTTGTTTTCACGATGTATACTTTCTACTATCGTATTGACGTGATTTAGGAAAGCATCTACATTGCCATGGGGGTGTCTATAAACAACACCACAAATGGTATTACGCCCCATATTGTTTTGAATTTCAATCCATAGAAATTCGTAATCATTTTGCTTTTGGCCAGAAAGATCTGAGCGATGAATATATGCAAGATTATCCTTCACATAAAAGCCTACCCCTCCAGCATTGGTACAGCTTGGTTGAGACAAAAAGTTATAACCAGTTATATTAATATTTACTAAAGCATCTCGATCATTCTTTAACTTTGTCTCAGTTACACCTAATACAGATATAGGGAAATATAATTTAGATAGCATATTAACTAGGTTATCAAAATTAGCCTGCAGGCTCCTGATATTACAATTTAAAAAAGAGAGTGAATTACTAGTTAGACAATTCATGATATCATCATTAACATGAAAATCATGTGTGGTGAAATAATTAAAATTCAAGTCAAAGGGCATTTGGATGTCAATGTCTGAATTAGTAGGGTGATCAATGTTGGAAATAGGAGAAGTAATATCTAGTTGAGGTAATGAGGCAGAGCTACTTGGGCAATTGGAGCTGTCAAGATGAGGGACTCTACCAGGAGACCTATCACAAAACATTGTCTTTCTTGAATTTTAAGCAATCCTTGAACAGTGCATTGTTCTTTGGTGTTCAACTTTCATCGATGAAGATCTTCTTATCAACAGAGAAACAGTAAGACCAAAGACCTAAGACCTAAGACCTAAGACCCCTCGAAAACTAAGACCCATCGATAAACTTTTGGGTACGGAATATTTTAAAAGAAAGAAGACGTCAAAGTGATCTTTACAACTTGGACACAGTTAATAGAGCGAACTATGACCTTGAGGGGCTACAACTTGGGAGATCGTGAATTTTACTTGGGGTGTTTACATGCAGGCTACCGAGCTGCAAAATTAAACGTTGGTTATAGATAAGTAAACTTTTCGCTGCTAGATTTACCATGTCTATTTAATTTAGGAAGAAAACGTGAGCTTTCCGTTTCGCTTTTCACTTAACAAATTGGTTCATACGTCAGCGTGCGTTCATCGAGATATGAAGCACGCACGAAAGATGCGTAAGAGTGGCTCGAGACGTAGCCGAGAGCAACTCTAGCTTCCCAAGTGCTTCATATCTCGATGAACGCACAGCTGACGTATGAACCAATTGTTTTATAACATTTTCAACGCTGTAGTTCATGTGTAAAGGGCACATATCCCCCCTCCTACGCTTCAATGCGTTGTTTATTTATTTTGTTTCGGAAAAGTATTTCGCTATGCTTCAATGACTTTGTCCCAGATTGGTCAAAAACTGCGTGGAAATGAAGTTAGAGTTGCGAAAGGAGATGAAACCGGCGTTGATTGTTTTGTTTTCCCTTTCTCTGGGTTCTTTCTCGGGAGTTAAAAATACATTACCAAAGAAAAAGTATATGCCGATGAAGTATATGCCGATGAAGATCTGCCTCGAGGCAGATTTTCGCGAGGCATTTGTTTGCCGACCTCACAGCGTGCACAATGGAAAATTGAAGCACGCTCGCGTTATTGAATTTGAGTACACGAATTTATAAGCTACCGTATTTTCTCGATTAAACGCCGGACCCCGATTAAACGCCGGCTTCGAAAAAACAGGGTCAACACTGACGATTTTTTGTTAAACGCCGGGGGCGTTTAGTCGAGAAAATACGGTTGTTTTAATACACACTAGTGTGGATGGGGCCTGTTTTAAATTTTTATATGCAAGTACGCTGGTCTAATCAAAGTTCATGTAACTTGACCCCGTTGACCTTAAGTTTTGTGGACCACAACAAATTACCTAGGACAAGGCGAGAACCGACCTCCATAATAGGGTATAACTGGACAAATCACAACATATCCAACTTCCCAAATATATTATTGAAAGATACAAAAGCCCATCCATGCGAAAGAAGATGAAGTGAGCTGGTCCTGAATTGTTGTCGTTTTAACACTTTACTGCCTAAATCACATTACCGGAAGTCACGCACAAGAGCCGCGATTTGAAATACTGATCTTAAAAATTGCGTTTAAAGTTTCCCGAGAATTGAAAACAGGCAACTTATTTTAGCAGAATACGTTAAAACGGCCTTTCGTTCGAAACGCGTACATCGAAAACATTCTGTGCTGCGCTGCCGTAAGTCACTGATAATTACGCACTCGGTAATTCAGGCCCAGTCCACACTAATAGTGTGTAGTGAAAAGAGAAACAGAAAGCTCACTTTTTTCTTTCTGAATTAAATAGACATCGTAAATCTTGCAGCGAAAAGTTTACTTATTCATATCTACGTTTAATTTGCAGCTCGGTAGCCTGCATGTTAACTCCCAAAGTAAAATTCACGACGATCACCCAAGTTGTGTCTCCTCCAGGTCATAGTTCGTTCTGTTAACTATGTCCAGGTTGTAAAGATCACCTTGCCTTTTTCTTTCTTTTTAAATATTCCGTACTCAAAATTTTTTCGAGGGGTCTTAGTTTTCGAGGTAGACTTGCTCACAAGTCGCGCTTTTGAGCGCGTAGTGCGACAGTGAACGCGGAGGGCGAGCGAGCCGAGCCGAGCCGAGCGAGCGAAGTTCTGCGGGTCCTACTACACCAGAACAGAAAACCAAGCGAACAACTTTGAGAAAGTCTATTTTCGAGGGGTCTTAGTTTTCGAGGGGTCTTAGTTTTCGAGGGGTCTTAGGTGTTAGGTGTTAGGTCTTAGTTTTCGAGACACTCAGATTTCAGCCTTTTCCTTGTCCAATACAAACTTTCCCTTATTTCTCGTCTCACAAACTTTAATATTATGGCAGGATCCACTGATGCCCTACTGCTTGGAATTCGATGACAAACGGATATATCATTCCTTTCCAACGGTATGCCCATCTTCCGACTTAGCTGAAGCACAATGTCGTTAGTATCTTCCTCCTGGAAATCCTCTGGAAGTGGAATACCACGAATTTCAAAACATTCTCCTCTAGTATACTGCTCTATGTCATTAAGGGACTTTAGTATTAACTTCAAGTCGTTTGCAGAACTTAACACTTGAGCTTTGAGGCTAGCATGTTCTTCCTTAATTGCCTTGTTCTCTCTCTCCTTGAACCGCCTCAAAAGTATCTTCTATCTTCTCAAATTTCGTAGTCAACAATTTCACCTTCGCCAAAGCTTCCTTTAACTGCTCAGAAAGCGGGCTGAGTTTTTCATCTAAAATCCTTTCTAGCTTTTCCTTTGTAATATTAGGCATAATTCCTTGCATAAACTGTAATGAGAATCACAAAACTGGACGAAAACGAACACGTCTGCCATGCTGCATGACCGCTGACTACTCTCTCTTCTTATTTACTTACTATCTTTGGTAGTAAGCAAATAAAACTGCAATCTTTTTTGGAAATATGCTAAAATAAAATTTTTTGAGCTTTCAACAGTCACAGCTGCAAAAGGCCTTCTTTTGGCCTCTTGCGACATCGAAGTTTCAAAAGTTAACAAGCTCCTCGTAACACACCACGTGCAGTGCAAAAAATCGTTTGAGTAACTAAACTTTGGAATATTCAAAGGGTTATAAAAGCATTTTAATTTCGATGTGTGTTTATTCAGAGGTTCCCAATAATTTATTAAAAAACATCCGTTAGACAGCTTTTTGAAATTGGTCAAAAGTACTCTTTCTTGGTTGATATTTCGCAAGTCCTGACCACACCATCAAAACTCCGGTTGATTTCTTCTAATAAGATGTTCGACTTCAAACTTTTGGTGATTTTGCTAGCACGACAGCCGAATTATGCAAATTGTCTGTTAAGGAAACTCCAACCGTTTTCAGAGGTGTCTCGACCATATACGCACGTACGCACGTGCATACCTAAAAGTATCTATAAAATATCTCTACTTTTTTTTCAATAGATCTATCGGCGAAAGGGGACTTTTAAACATACAAGAGTTTTCCCTTTTTACTGCTGCTATTTTACGAAAGAAAACTTGGCAAAACATTCCACTGTTCATTTTTTAGTTAATTAGTATGAGAGTTCAAAAGCCAGTCATCACAACCACAGTAACAGAATAAAAAGAGCAAAAATAAAATGGATCGAAATCCACCGATCGCAAAACAAAAACTTCACCTTTTGACCCATTTGACCCCTTCCATTTTCTGAGCGGTCCGCAAAAGCATTTGACCTGATTTGACGGCAGCTTAAAACGCAGTCATTTCGGGTCTGTTTGAGCTTATGAGTTCATGAATTGCTTTACAAGGTGCTTGAGTTCGTGAATGAATTAAATGGCCCAAAGACCAATAAGCGACTTTTTTAGCCGAAGAGTGTTAACAAGGTCAACGAAGAGGAACCTACAGAAGGTAAGTGTCCTTTGTAAAATTAATGAAATATTTAAAGAAGGTTTTGATCCTTATGATATTCTAGATTTACGAAAAAAGGACGTGTTTGCTTAAAAAAAAGGAAAAAAAAATACACCACTTCTTTGCCAACATTTCCTCTTATAAATAGTGTTACGGCTTGAAAAAAAGGCAAAAAAACGTACATACGACCGTCAAAGCACGATAGAAATGCGTGATATAGCCACAGTCATTACACCTGGTAAATAAACCTCGTTAATAGCAGTCATATGCTGCTTTTGTTAGGTACAGACTGTTTGACTAGGACAACTAGTGCTGTACAAACTGAAAGTGGCTGTATATCGCTAGAAACGATACTGAACCCCAGAAAATGGTTGCTATTCATTGTCTCTGCATTTACATCCCCAAATAACTTTATTCTGATGCCTAGTGCACGTTAGAATTATTAAAAAGCGGAGGAGTAATCTCTTAATGCATCTTGGGTAGTCCCCAACTAACAATAGCTACTGGCGGTCTCTGCATGTTCCTCCCCAAAGAGCTTCATTCTGATGCCAAGTGCACGCTTGTGTGACTCACCAGCTGAGGAGTACTCTCCCAGGTTGTCTTGCACAATCCCCAACTCACGGTAGCTGTCAGCGGTGTCTGCATGTTCTTCCCCAAAGAGCTTTATTCTGATGCCAAGTGCACGCTTGAATGACTCAGCAGCTGAGGAGTAATCTTCTACTGCATTTTGTGTAAACCCCAACTCACGGTAGCTGTCGGCGGTGTCTGCATGTTCCTCCCCAAGTAACTTTATTCTGATGCCAAGTGGACGCTTTTGTGACTCAGCAGCTGAGGAGTACTCTCCCAGGTAGTGTTGAGCAAACCCCAGCTCACGATAGCTGTCGGCGGTGTCTACATGTTCCTCCCCAAGTAACTTTATTCTGATGCCAAGTGCACGCTTGTGTGACTCAGCAGCTGACCTCATCAGA